ATGAGAGCATGTCCCATTGCTGCCAATGGTGATTGTCACAATGGCAGGAGTGTGTTGGGATATGACGAAATATGAGTTTTTACGTTCCAAAAGAAACTATTCAAGTACGAGGTTTTTGACACGTGCGGTCGGAATTTGATCGTGCAAGATGTCGGGATTCGACGCAAGTATGCCGGACGCAAGTCTGTCGGACAATCTGTATCCACACAAACAGGAAAAGATCCTGTACAAGGGGAATATTGATGTTGTGTACGATACAGTAGGAAATAATGCAAGATATCCCAAAGTACTGCATTCAATACAGAATTGCCGTAGAAGTTGAATCGAGTCCTGTAAACAAGGGATTTTCCAAGGGAAAATCGTCGAACTCACTTTTGTGATTGAATCATCAATTCAAGCCAAACATTAATCAAATAGGAACAATTTCACTCAAAGTATACCTAAACACAGGAGAACTATTGTCGTGAAAGTGTTGTACAATCGATTACGAATTTAGATTGCAGAGAGTTTGTTCTGAGCGCTAAAGGCACTCACGATAGAGCACATTTTGCTTTATTCTCACAGGAGAACTATTGTTGTGAAAGTGTTGTATAATCGATTACGAATTTAGATTGCAGAGAGTTTGTTCTGAGCACTAAAAGCACTCACGATAGAGCACATTTTGCTTTGTTCTAACATGTATCAACTATAATGTTAATTACAGGGCAATTATTATATTACAACATTAATATTCTATGGTATGTTTCCCACGCGCCATCAAAAACTGCTGACATCCTCGTCGCAACCACGTCGGAGTGGACGGACGATTTGAACGCCAAGCTGCATCAAGGATAAAAGGAGATATACTGCGAGTTGGTCAGGCAGCTTAAAAAGTTTAAAGTACAAATTTGTTTGCAAATATTTTTGAAAACCCGGAGATTGCGCATATCGAAAAACGACCATCCGAAACAGGTTGGACTAGTCCGAATACAGCTTGTCCCACGGAAAATCAAGAGTTTCCGTGGTTTTCCCATTTTTCGAAGTGGTTGACTACACTTCGAATAATCATCTCGCAGTGAGCCGTGGGACATAAAATCGTCCAACCTGTTTCACATGCTCATTTGACCGGCATGCGCGCAGTACATCTCCTTTTATCCTTGGCTGCATTCAAATAAAGGTATCAGCTATACCAATTGTAGTGAAACCAAAGTGTGACGGGAGACAGACAGACTTTTCCTCCCCCCTCAGCACGGAGACATCAAATTCAAGCTCCACTTTGTTCCATCGAATTCCTCCATCATTTACGGGTACATAGAATTATTTAGGGGGCAAAACATTGTTTTATTTCCCCGAAACAGTGGAGTTATAATTAACAAGCCTTTTGTCGTAAATTTTGTCGTAAATTTTGTTGTAAAATATTTACGACAACTTACGACAAGCTACAACAAATTACCACAAACCTACAACAAATTACGACAACCCTACGACAAAATTTACTACATATCTACGACAAAATCTACCTTTGCGCGCACGCCGACCCTTCGTTTCAACATTAGCGATGACCAAGAGAATTTCAAATACTTTCATGTTGAAAACACACAACAACTCCGTTTCATTGTCAACAAGTACACATACCCAGTATGACGGAGGAAAATACCATGCAACAATCATCATAAGATAAAAGATGGTAGATTTACACGCTCTCAAAGGTGAGATGATCCAGATTTTTGCTGGAAAATATGCTGGCCATGAAGCATGGATGGATAATTGGCAGACATGGCATTTCAACGAAGGAACAGATACAGCAAAAGGGACTCGTGCAATCAACCATCTGGAAGAGCTCTTTTCAAGGTTTTGACCCCAACACAAGACCGTATGGATAAGCGGACCAAAGAGGGTTGCTTTGGGTGATCGGGAAATCTTTGCAGAAGATGGAGGGCTACGGGAAAAGGTTCCAAAAGGAAAAGTTGTTGTCTGCGACAGAGTCTACACTGACAAAAAGACGGCAGGCAACAACGCAAAGCTTGCCCTCCCCAGCCTTGCTGATCCTGGACCCTTATTCGAATTCAAATCCAAGTTGCGAGCAAGACAGGAGAGTTTGAATGGAAGATCGAATCCTTGATGCGACTTATCATCATGATCCGAAGAACCATGTGTTTGTGCTGGAGGCAGTTGCTGTGCTTGTTCAGTATGCTATGGATCATGGACATCCAATTTCCCCCGCAAATACTGGTGATCATTACCCAGATTCGGATGTTTAATTAAATTGGGATATATGAAATAAATTAGACTTGAACTATTTTAAAATATTTGATATTGCAGGCCTCACTTGAAAAGGCAACACTGTGGCTCATTTCGATTGATTTGTTTCACGTCATGCTTGCGCGCGAGCCGAGAATTCTCTCTACTTTTTTAGTTCTGTTGTAAATTTTGTCGTAATTTTGTCGTAAATTTTGTTGTAGTTGCTCAGTTGATGGTAGAGAATTTACGACAAAAAATTACGACAAACTACGACAAAAATTACGACAAACTACGACAAAAATTACGGCAAAGTTTTGTCGTTAATCAATCACCAAATGTTTTCGGAGAAATAAACTATATTAGTTTTGGACCCTGAAATAGTTAGGATCCCCTTTTAAATGATGAACATACAGTCAGTCGACCCCGTTAACAGAACCAGGGATAACAGATCGATGAGTTTAACAGACAAATTTTGAAATGACACAGATTTCACGGTCCGTCTGTCATCCGTGTCATGTATGTTCGTACATCGGTCTGGTCATCGTCCGTTTTCACGAAATCTCTTTACTGTAGGACTCAATACTGTATTGCGTGGTGCACTGAGCTGATGTGTACTGTAGCTAGCTGCCTCTCGTCATCATTGGAGCTGAGGATCTGGCTATTCATTGGACCTGCCTGCTTATGAACAAGCAAAAGACACAACAAACAAACCTTAGTGTATACTCTTTCACAGCAAAAAAATCTAAACCTCCTAATTGACTTTGCTCAATATCGCAACTATAGTACAGCACTTTTCTCGACTATAGTACGACACTTTTCTTGTTAGATTTTGCTTAGTTGTGACCTGAAATTGCAAATTTTCTTCTCCAAGGGGGCTCTGCCCCCCTGGATACCCCCCGCAAGGGTCTGGCCCCCAGACCCCCTTTACTTGGGGGCCCAGCCCCCAACCCCCACTACCAGAAGACGACTTTAACAGAATGAATGCTCTTTTGCACAACATTCTGTTAACGGGGTCGACTGACTGTACATTGTTGAGCTAGAATTTGATAACCCCGTGCTGCAGGGGTGCAAAAATTCTTCCCCTGTCCCATCCGAAATGGGTTTCACACCAATCCGAGGGGTATCCCAGGAGAGCTGGTTTTCTCAACCTATTGATCAAAATTTAACCTCAACCTCAACAGGTTCAGGTGTGAGACAAAAAGCAATAGTGAAACATGTTATCAGATCCTTTAGCTGTTCGACCATGGCTTTTTAAAAACCACCCGAAGCAACTGGGTAAGTACACTTGGAACCACCCACCTTATGTCACAGTTCACCCACTCATTGACTTGAAGCATTATTGGACAAGTTTGAAGTTGAGCTCAAGCTTGGTAGGCTATCGGGAGTTTCCAGCGAGCCTGGAGCAAAAGGCGAAAGTCTTAAAAGCATTGACCGAAGAACAGTTGCATTCCGAACGGTGGAAATACTGAAAACTATGATCGGTTCCACCCGTTGGCAAACACCTGCACACCTCGTGGCCCTTCTGCGGGGTCTTGGAAGGGAATTGCATTCTGCAGGTGGTTTCCGAGAGCCTGCGATTGGGAATGTTGTCCGTCGCATAATTGCGGCAGTTCGAGAGGAGGTAATGAATGGTTCGCCCTTGGATGAAGCTGACGGGAACGCTGGCACTAGAAATAGAGGCCGAAATGATAGATCTTTGGAGAGCATTCTCTGGGCATTGCCTCAACAGTTCAAGTCAAACCGCAGTACAGTAATTCAGCAGCCCCAAAGAACGCAAAGAACAGATTCAATGAATGAGTTCGTGGAAGCGTCTGACTTGCCCTCACCTTTTTTTCAAACTCGACCCGATCTAAAGCAGGCAGTGATGGAAGCCATCACTGAATTCACATCCGATTTAGAAGATCTCCACAAGAACATCAATGACCAGGCAACCGACCATATACATGCGGGGGAGATCGTATTGACGTATGGGCGAAGCAAAACCGTCGAATCTGTAAGTTACTTGTTTTTATTTATTGTAAGGCAACAGAAGCTGCGGTCTCACACATCAGTTTGTCCTATCAACTCAGTTTTTAAAAGCCGCAGCGGACAAACGGCTGAAATTTACTGTGGTGGTATGTGAGAGTGCTCCGAAATATGAAGGAAGTGAGATGGCGAAGTCTTTGGCAGATTGCGGAATTGATACATGTGTAATTCCTGATTCGGCCATTTTCTGTATAATGGCAAGGGTGAACAAAGTTTTGCTTCCTGCCCATGCAGTCTTGGCAAATGGAGGGCTCATCGCGCCGAGCGGGAGTAATATGGTTGTATTGAGCGCTTCACAGAACTCTGTCCCAGTCATCTGTTTGACAGGTATGGCTTTGGTTACGGATCCTCATCGTTGATCCACCCTGTAGCTCCTCACACGTGATATTTCTCGCCTGTACAGGAATGTTCAAGCTCACCCCTATTTTTCCTCACGAAGGACAGGATACACTGAACGATATGTTGTGTCCAAGCTCAGTCGTTTCGATGCACGATAAGAAGTTGACACTCAACAACGTTGACTTGGTCAACCCAATCTATGACTATGTCCGTCCAGAGTTGATAAACTTGTACGTGACAAATGTTGGCAGCTTTCAGCCAAGCTACATATACCGACTGCTTGCAGAATATTATCACAATGACGACTGGAGTTCATTCGAATAGCTTCATTAATGACAACCATAGTCCTCGTTTTCGTTGACGATTAGATGCCTCTAAAGATCCCCAATTATTCATACTGGCGGAGTACGCGGTCCTTGTTGAGCCCACAAGTCAATGCAGATTGAGTTGTGTTCAATTGTGCGGCAAGGTCTTGCAACCGAACCAAACCATCACCGTCTTCGTCACTTTCAGGACCCCAGAGAATTGCAGTATCGCCAACAACTATGCTTGCCCCAGGACTATCTGATGATTGTGCTGGACCAAGATCCACCATTAGCATATCCATGCAGACATTACCAGCAACAGGAAATAATGACCCACGTATTGCAACCTTTCCAACTCCATTTCCGAGCTCCCTAGGATATCCATCAGCAAAACCGATCGCAATGGTGGCAATCCTTACGTCTGAGGGTGCAATGTAAGCACGATCATATCCAACTGATTCCCCTTGCTTCAATATTGCTACATGGCGTACCTGAAACGAAGAGTTAGATTTTGAGGATTCCAGGAATTGGATTCATTCTCAACTTACGGATGCGCAAAGAGTTGAGATCGCTCTGATTTGGTGGAAAGCTGGTCGCTGTCCATAGATAGCCCCACCGGTCCTAACGAAACCTCTCGAATCTGTGAAATCCTGAGTCAAAAGCTCTTTGGGGTCAAAGTGTTTGTGTTCTGTTGTCAACAAAGCAGCTGAGTTGTCTGTACGACGGCCAACAGAAGAAAGGATTAACACTATGATAGCATGGAAGCGCACATGCAAACGGAAGTGGTATTACCTGTACTAATCGTTGGCACAGAAATGCCTGCAGCCCGGGCCCTCTTGAGTAAGAACTGGAGAGTGATTTCGACTTGAGAAAATTTCCAAATTCAAAAACTTGACCTTCCAAATTTCGCTGTAGCTTACCTTGAAGCGCTCCATTTGAGAGCCTGTATAACTTGAAGAGCTGGCATCTGCCATGTGGGTACACATTCCAAAGAACTCAACCGGTACATCCATGTTATCCTCTAACTCTAGCAGCTCTTTCATGATATCAACAGTATCACGCCTCTGTCCTTCCTCTTCGCTAGAAACGGTATCAGTACGAAATCCAAGTCTACCCATTCCGCTGTCGACCAAAGCATGCCATCGCAAGCGTTTTCTTCCGATCCCTAGCGACGATTTAGAAAGTGGGTTCTTTGGATGGGCATCAGTTGTATCAGGTTCACATCTCGTCGCTTTGGAAATTGCTTTATGGCGTGACCTTGAGTTTTTGGCTGCTTCTTCAATACCAGGAAATGTCTTTATGGCTGTCTTTCCTTTTGGAGATGCGTTCAACGAAGAGTTTGTCAAGATCGTTGTATCAGAAGAATTTGTTGTCGACGCGCTGGTCATTTTTTGGTTATTCAATATCTGCCGAACTTCCTTGGCCAAATCCATCCCAGTTACATTGCCAAGTGTTGCAGAGGGCGGACGGTAAAGTTGCGAAGTCTCCATGTTGAAATTAACGGAATTCTCATTGTTTGGGGAATCAGGATCACTCGTTTTCTTTCGTAAACGAGAAGAATGGTTTGTCCCTTGTTGTGTTTGTTGGACATTGGACTGTAATTGTAAGGCACGCTCCTTTGCTTCTGTTGCAGCCCTCTCAACTTGCAACCGTTTTCGTTCTTCTGTGTTGCAAACCCATTCAAGTAGGGCCTTCGCCACTTCAGGACCAGAGATCATCACTTCGATGTTGAAATGCAGGAAATCATCAAACACATTTTTAGCTGGAGCTGGAGGTCCCAGGACCAATATTCTGACTTTGGCCGGCCGATGATATCTTCGTCGTGAGAATGACGGGTCGATACTTCTTGTAGGATTTGTGGTATTGGTAGACGGTTGAAACAATGAAGCTACGTCTTTAGTGGAATTTGAGTTTTTGGCTTGGAGAGAATTCCCACCAGATGGATTGTATGGCATCCCAGGAGGTGTGTCCTGAAAGGCCTTGCGTAGTGCTATGCCTTCTTCCAAGGTTGCGACAGCGAAAGCATCTGCTCCCATATTATCAGCAAGAAAGAGTGCCGTTCTGATTGCCCCGTGACCATATCCGTCGGCTTTGACAACAACTATCACCGAGCAACGTTGTCGATTCGCTGCTGCTTCGACTTCAATGTAGTTGTGATGCAGTCGGGCAAGGTGGATTTTATGGACCGCACGCAGCTCTGACGAAGGAACGTTTGGGATGTCTCCGCCATCCAATTCCCCATGGCTTCCAACAGAGGGTCTGGATGAGTTGCGGACGTTGGCATTTCCAGATCTCATTTTATTTCGCATAGTTTCCCTTTTTATCTTTCACTTTCTCATTCATTCTCAAGCCAGCGTCGCATATGACGCATAGAAGTTGAAAGTGACGACCAATGGGAGTAAAACGGATCGTATCAGTCGATTATCTCGATCGCTAAAACAATAATTTGTGCATATCCATGAGGAATATATAAAAAACAATTGTTGAAAAGTTTAGCTAGAGCATTTTGAGAATTTATCGCAGATCTCAAATTACTCACACAGCATCCATCGACTTTCCAAACGACACTGTTATTTTCGATGCGTTCTCCGCAAGCTCGTCCCTATGGCAATGGCGGGCGAAAGCCTTCCAAGTATGAAGATGACACTGGTTATTCTGCTCACGAGAGTGGTAGGCGGACTCACTATTCAGAATATGAGAAAAGCACGACGAATGGGAAAAGAACTGTTTTTTCTGAATACACAACAGATGCAGACTACACAGATGAGGATGGGTCATCTTACTCAGAATCTGACAATGGAAAACGTACTCCTTTTTCAGAATACATTACAGAGTACACCGATGAAACAGACGATGATAGGATGTCTGGAACTCTTGGAATTGCAAGAAATCAATACTGTACCACATTGAATGCCTTGGTTGAAGGAAGCGATTCCTGCTCCTCCGAGTCATCATATTCGCAATCGACATTTGCATCTGATTTCGATCGAATGTGTAATGCAAACGTCAATACAAACTGTATGGCTACACTGTTCAATCGAAATGCTGAGGTTCCTGGAACAATCCATTGTGGAGGAGAGCATTCAGACGCGCAGCAAAAGGTGAGCCTTCCTTTACCACTCCACTACATGGACCACCTAGTGCCTTCAAAGCAAGAATTCAGTTCGGCCCTTGATAATTTTGCTCAAAAGTTCGATACTGGAGACGAGGAACGCCCTGGCTTTCCGCAGGTGTACAAGTCACTTTTCGAAGCAAACTTATCACAGACTGCAAGCGTCGAGGATGACGAACGCATGGCGGAAAACGTGCCCAGACGAAAAGGCACCGAGAGGAACAGATCACAAGATTTGGCTTTTCCGAAAACCAAACGAGATGTTCTGCCAAAAGTTGAAAAAGACAAGGATCCAGATATTTTGTCACCTCCAAGTCATATTATCATCAACGATGATTTCACAGCTGTAAGCTCTGCAGAGAGCTTCGGTTTTGCTCCAGAGACTCAGAAAACATCTTCTGGAGTGAAACACAAAAATGACAGAAGGGAAGGGAACAACCGACACTCGTCACCTCGTCATTCGTCACCACGCCATACAGCACCGCACCGACCGTCACCCCGTCATGTGACACCCCACCATCCATCGCCCCACCACTCCTCACCTGAGCGTCCATCGCTTCGGTGTACTACTGAGAAGAACAAGTACGAATACAGCAGTACGAAAGTGGATGCGCCAACAACAACGAGGCACGGACTGGACAGGCTCATGCGCAAGCAAACTGCTTCGCCATCGAAACGTCGCGAAGAAATCGATGAAGAGGAGGCCCCGGTATTCAAGGGGGTAGCGAGTATGAAGTTACCATTATCTGGCGGGAAAGTTTCCAGTAATGGGAAGCCGAATGTCTTTTCGTTCCGTCATGTGGATGAAAGTAGGCAGGATGCTCATACACCTGAACACCGGATAGCAAGTGCACGAGGAGAAGGCGCAACTTCTAGAGTCAATACTCAACCAGACAAGCGAGACTCTGCTGGTCTTATCAATAAAGAATCCCTGAGCTACAATGAATTGGTGCCAATAAACACATCTATAGCGAAAGCCAAAGCTAACAGAACCAAAAATCATCTCATGATGAATTCCAAGGCTCCCTCACAGTCATATCCGCCGAGAAACAAGACTTCTATCATGAGGGATGAACGTAACGGTGCCCCTGGGGCAAATGATACAAATGCACATTTATGGAGGAACTCAGCAAACTCCATTCCTCATGTTTTGAGCCTGAAACAGACGCAAACAGGATTTAGTGAACTCACAGGTGAACCCGACGCGTTTGGTGAAACGAAAATAGACTCTACGCCACTGGAAACAATTGTCACAAGTCCACAGGGACATGGTGCTGTCAATGTCCAAGTACTGAGTCTGAAACCGACGCAAACAGCAGTTAGTGAACTTACAGGCGAGGCTGGGGACTTCGGAGAGATGAGAGGGTACACTGTTCCACTCGACACCATCGTCTCGAGCCCGCGAGGAAATGAAACTCCGCCTACGAAGAAGCAACCTCGTGAAGAGTGTACAAGATCTCCTCTCGCGACATCTGAAATACGCGTTCAAACTCCCTCCAGAAGAAACAGAGATCTGACAAACGACATGGGCGTTATGAAGTCCAATAACGCAGCTCCGAAAGAATCAGCATATCCAGAGCCTTCCTTGGATGGCTATGTTGTTGCAAGGAGAGCGACACCAAATAAAAAGGCAGAGACTCTGGACAAGTTAGAGGATGCATTGATGGGATCCAGAAAATCTGCTTCCTCTGACTACATGGCAAAAAGACAAGGATCCAACGAGACTCGAGTGTTTGCCTTCGATGAGTCTAAATCTTGCGCAAGGCCAACGATGAGCGATTCAGCGGCTGCAGCAGACATCGGGCAAGCTGAGCATCAAAGTACAACGATTACGGCGGAAGGTCAAGAGGCCAAGAAACCATCGAACGACATCAAGTCTAAGCCAACACAGGTAGAATTGGACGATTCAACGCCGAGTCGCCTAGGTGAGCCCATTGAAGTCACAAAAGCGGCTCTTGAAAGCACGGAAGAAAAGCATCCCGAAAAAAGAGAGTTTGAAAAAGCATCGGGGAGAGAGAAAGACGATCGAGATGTCCGAGCCCATGCGACTAAAGAAGAAGGGGCGGATACAGCCCAATCCCTGTATCCTTCATCCTTTTCAGATTATTGCAAGGATTTATCTAGTAATGACGACAAAACTTCGGGAGATCAAGATGGCGTAAACGGTGATAGCGCGGTACACAAGCTCGAGGGGGGTGGTCCCGCCTCTCTGTCTGCCCTTGACAATGAAATCTCCCTCCTTCAGAGCCAGATAACTGGACTGGAGCAACAGGATCAAATGTCAGAGATTTACAATGATCAAATGACTTCGGCTAGTCATCACTTCGAGCCTCCGATAATAGAGTCAGAAGATCCTGTGATGCCTATCATTGGGACAACAAAGATTGATGATGATATTCCTCGTCTTCAGTCTTCTCTTGACCCGCCAAGGGCTTCTTCTGGCCCTCCTGAGTCCGGTAGGATGACTAGTGGAGACCATCACCACTTCAAGCCACCTCTTGCTCCAACAGAGCAAGGCCCGACTTCAAAAGGGAAAAAGCAAAAGAATAGTTCGGGTTTCAAACCGGCTTCAAAACAGAACAAATCAACCGATGCAACACTTGTAACGGCCCCCACCGTCATGTCAATTGACACACCATTCACAGTCGACGGCCCGTTGGTTCTTTCCCCAACAGTAAAGGGACCGGAAGAAATAAAATGGAATAGAAACTCGAGCATGCTTGTGGCAACAGCGATCGCCCTACCGTTTGAAAGAAGTTCCAGTCATGGAGTCGAAATCGATGCATCATTTTTCTTCATTTTCGTCATAGGAACGAGGAAGTACATTTCTGATGTGCTCTTCATCATTGTTGCCTGGTTGCGTCACCTTTCTTCGCTGGGCTTCGCTCCACGAGAACAAGCTAGATTTCGGGTGGGATTGATGGTTCCACCAATCACAGAAGACGATGTCCTCCGTGAACACCAGCTGCAGAGTAAATCGACGGTCACCAGCAGGTTGCTGTCTCCGGCCTCTGAAGAACCAGGAATCGTTGTCGAGTCCTTTGTTCCGGAGATGTGGGCCGAAAATGAATCTGCGGGAGGAAAGCGAGGGGCATTCCTTCCTCCCTTGACAAGTACTAACTCCATTTGGAATAGAATTTTTCGCAAACAGGAGGTTGTAACAGCAGCAACGCGGTGGGGTTCAGAAGTATAAAATACAGTGAAGTCTTCACAGATACATCAGTTGTCGCTGCTACAAACCCAGGAGATTCATTCCCTTGCCATATGCTGCTGGCGCCGGCGTGGCTCCATGTCTTGTTGGAGTCATCCTCGAGATCACTTGCAGAGACGTGTATTCTTGTCACCAGCATAGAAACCATCTCTTTGTGAGTCTGCAATTCTGCCAATAACACAGAGTCCAATTTATTTTGAATAAAAAGTAGTAGTTCAAATTGCTGCATGCAAGATGTAAATTATGTCAACTTTTGCTGCCTTCGACGCACACTTCTTCGCCTTAAAGCAACAAATTTGAAACTTTGGATTCAGACCACTTCTAAAACTCGTAATTGCCGAGAAAACGATATTCTTAGTCTTATTGCTTTTGTTGTTGGCTTTGCTTGTAGGCTTCAAGAATGCCCCCAACATTATTTTTCCAAAGGTGCAGTCTCGATTGTAATCCTTTCCACTGTTCGATTTCAAACTTTCTAACAACACAGCGCTCGACAATAACTTGCTCTTGTAATTGATCCATTTTTGCTGACAGGAGCCCCGAAGAAACAGCAGCAATGACCCATTTCTCCACGTCACTTGATTCTGTTTGCAATGTTTTTGCGACTACTTTGTATGGGATCTCCTCATGCTCCGCAGCAAGACTGCACAAGCTCAAAATACGCATGTGTCGTGTGCATTCTGTCGGTGATAATTTCCACTGTGCTAGAACAGATTCGCCCCCATTCGTTTTAACGAATGATTGATAATCCTCCAATTTACCTTCTTGGAAAACCTTCAAGAGATCAAGAAGTGGCGCTGGCAAAAACAAACATGGCGGCCAATGGTGCATGAGTGATGGGGGTGATAACAGAGGAAAGTTGCAGTCGGTACGTACTAAATTTTTCCTTCAATGCTTGGATTGCGGGAAGGGATAGGATTTTTCGCTGCTCAGCGAAGAGAGAAACCGGATCTCGAATAGCTCCAATTGCTGCTTTCTTCGCAGTTTCCAGGGCTTCGGTATCGACATCCTTCAGTATGGAGTTAGCATAAAAGATAGGTATCGAACACACGAAACCAATAGTTACATACCGTTTTGATGTAAGTTTCGACAGTGAGAAGAGTAAATCTCTGCTCAGAAAGTGCCGAAGTCGTTCCGTTTGCCACTGCGCGATAAAGCGCTCGTCTGTTTACAGGTTGGACTTGCCACTCGTCTAGCATCGATGAAAGTTTTGAAGCTTCCATCCATCGACCAAGGAATGAGCTACTCGACTCCAAAAGGGCTGGTTGACGAGCAGTTGCAAGAGTGATCATTTTAACGAGTAGTCCAACTTTTTCCAAAGGTTCGGATCTCATGTTGTACAAAGTGGCTAGCAAAGAAATGGCCTTCGAAGTCTCATCAGTGCTCGTCGCTCGGATAACAGAATCAGCCAAATCGTCTACTAGTTTTGAACTGTTGACATCCTTAACTCTGTCCAAAAGAGCAGCTAACAAGGATACTGCAGAGACAGCTTCCTCTTCCAGCGAAACTAATGCTGAAATTGCCCCTTTCTCTTCCAAGATTGTCCGCATTAGTTGTGCAGCATCCCCATGAAGAATGCAAGCTTCGCAATCTTGAACGAACCCAGCTCGTGTTGAGGGGGCAGAGTCAGCAAGGAGACGCACCAGACGAAGCTCTGCGTCCTCTGCGACATTGACAAGGGCAGATGAAGCTGACGCCGGCATTGTGAATGGATATTGTTTGCGGTCTGATCCACCAAGGCCCAAGAACGATTTCGTTTAGTCTATTGCAGTTTTCCGCATACTCGCAGATGCACTTGTAGCTTGTGGACGCTATACGACGTCTGCAGGTCCCCCGTTTTCTTCCGGGACTAAAAAGGAGTGACGAAACGACACATCAACAATTCGAGACCCGATCGTCATCTTTCATCTTCCAGTTGCCAACTTTCAAAGATGTATTCGATAGGACTGTTTGGAGCATTGATTTCGGTTCTCTTACAGGGTGTAGATGGTTTCGGACAGCTATCGGCTCCGAGAGCGACAAAGCTTGGCACTGTTTCAACTACAGATCAAGTTACAAGACTACATTCTCTCAAGTCGTTTGTGGATGATATCGCTCAGAGCAAAAAGCAACGAATAGTATTTTGTGGGGGTAAAGGAGGTGTAGGAAAGACTACCATTAGTTCTTCTCTTGCAGTTCACTTTGCGCTGATGGATCTTAATGTTTTGGTTGTGTCGACAGATCCAGCTCATTCGCTTGGAGATGCACTTGACGAAGATCTCCGACGAGGGAGAGGCGAGCCCGTTGTAATGATGGACCCACTGACTGGAGGTAGGCGATTTGTAATATGTTTACTAGGGCGGGTGTATGAACAAGACTAACCAAGAATTTTCAGGGCGTTTAAAGGCAGCGGAAGTTGATACAGACGAAGCGTTATCGCAGTTTCAAGAAAGTCTAGCGGCTTTCGATGTCGGGAAATTAGCTGATGCCTTGGGTGTTTCAGAAGAACTTTTGGTGGGTCTCGGGCTGCAGGAGTTCAGTGGGCTACTCAAGGATCCACCCCCTGGGCTGGATGAGCTTGTTGCACTTGGAAATGTAATGGATGAGAGATCCAATGAATTTGATGTTATTGTTGTAGACACTGCGCCAACTGGTCACACACTCCGTTTATTGGCATTGCCTCAATTTCTCGACGGGCTGCTTGGAAAACTCATAAAGCTTCGAGTGCAGCTCTCGGGGCTGACTTCAACCTTGAAATCATTTCTCGGAGATTCTGGAGCGAAGGAGCGGGTAGAAACGCTTGACAAAGCCATGCAGCAACTGGAGAAATTCAAGATGAAGATGTCGAGAATGGAAGAAAGGCTAAGGGACCATGAAACAACTAGTTTTCTTGTTGTGACAGTTCCGACGACGCTAGCAGTGAAAGAATCACAGAGACTGGTGTCACAATTGAAGTCGCAGGGAATTCAAGTACCTGCGATTGTTGTGAACCAATGTGTTGGGACGGACAATGGTACGCGAAAATTGAATAGGTTCTTGATTGTGTGGCTCACACTCACATTTTGCAACAAACAGACAGTAGCAGCGAAGCAATATCGCAATACTACAACAGGCGCAAAGATGGACAACAAAGATGGGTAAGGGAGCTCGAAGGTGCCCTTGATGAAGTCAGCGGAAGTCGAGAATTTAGGAGCAATGGAGATCCTGCACCAATTGCCTTGACAACTCTACCATTTTTTGACGTTGAACTGGTCGGGATTCCGGCTCTTGGATATGTTGGCTCCCAGCATTTCTCTAGGAACCCAAATTTTCAGCACCTCAAGGCAAAGATGGAAGATCGCTCAGACCCCAAAGTCGTAATCTGCGGAGGAAAGGGAGGAGTTGGAAAAACTACAATAAGTTCATCATTAGGTGTTTCTCTAGCGACGGAAGGGCTGAATGTTGCCATCGTGTCAACTGACCCAGCGCATAGCCTCGGTGATGCGATCGATGTTGATGTGAGTGGCGGAGACATGATAAAATGCTCATTGGCCGGAGTGCCTGGTTTTGTCGGCGAGGGATCACTTTCAGTCATGGAAATCGACCCGGCTTCCGCACTTAGCGATTTCAAGTCAGTAGTTAACCAAGCACTTGGGAAGGGAGAATACGCTTCAAGCTTGGATACACCAGACTTTCGTAAAGCTCTTCAAGGGATTGAAAATGTTTTTGACACCTTACCGGCAGGTACAGATGAGGTTGTTGCGCTAGTAAGTCCCCGATTGCATGCCAGCTTATTGTCCCGCTCCATGTTGATGTTTGATGCCAACATCTTCTACTTTTTCCCAACAGGCAAAAGTGGTTAGTTTGATAAGAAACGGTGCATACGATTGCATCGTTCTTGACACTGCTCCAACTGGTCATACTTTGAGGATGCTGAGGACCCCTAACTTCATCGGAGACTTGATCGATCGGCTAGTCACTATTTCTAGCAAAATTAATGCAAATCCAGCTGTGAAAATGCTTCTTGCTGGGACGACTGGGTCGAACGCTGTTGAGCTAGAAAGTGTAGCAACAAAAGCGAAGTCCCAGTTGCTCTCTTTCCAAATGCAGATGTACGACCTCGAGGACTTGTTTGCGAATGCTGAATCGACCGAGTTTGTTATTGTTACTGTCGCCACGGAGCTTGCAGTCCGTGAGAGTGCAAGGCTATTGAATGAACTCACCTTTGCAGACCCTGAGATGCAGGTGAAAGTGAGAAACGTCGTCGTGAATCAAGTCCTGAAAGATGACGGTAGTGATACGCGGGCGTTTTTCTCCCACATGAGAGGGACCCAATCAAAAGCGATCGAGGAGCTAGAATCTTATTTATCCTCGATACCTGGCAAGGCAACAAACGTATCAAAGATCCAGCTACTGGATACAGAACCAAGAGGTGTCTTTGGTTTAAAGGCTGTTGGCGAGGAGCTGGTCAAAGATAGTCAATAATCAATCAAAGAATTATGGTGGAATTGCGGGTCTCTTTTTTCGTCTTCCACCTCTTCGTGCTGGAAACTTTGAACTCTTCGCCTATGAAAGTTGGTAAAGGTAGAACCTTGTAAAATGGCGCTGATCTGTCAGTTGTAGCGAACTCTCCTCTCCTCCCATCCTCTTTTGCCTCATCAATATCAAAATCCAAATCTCAGTATTCCAAATCTTACCATCGGAGCCCGCGGTGTTCATGAGGTCATACCACCATATCAACTGTATACTGTCACTGTTTATGATGTTGCCAGTAGTTCATTCCTTACTGCATCACAGGTATCACTTTGGAAGACGAGTAACCACATTTGCGCAATCGTCGTCAACTCTGTACTCGGGGAATGCAAATTCGTACTCACTATACTTGTCCATTCCAGATCCTTCCACATGCGAAGAAATTGGAGCTTTAATTTCAGCATTTGCAGCACCCCCTGATGTGCTTCTGCTTGATGGTGATCTAGGAGCTGGGAAAACGACATTCTCTCGAGGCTTTATCAGGAACAAGCTTGGAGTGAAAAATGAGGCAATCACTTCTCCAACCTATCTATTGTCAAACGCCTATAGCTACAAATCAAAAGAAACTGTACATGAGTAAGTTCGTCTAATATTCTAAAGCTTGCCTAGTTTTGCTAATATATTCTTTTCCTTCAACAGGATACGCCACATGGTAAGTCTTTGTTAAGCAGAAGCCCTTGCTTCAAGCAGTTGTCAATTCACATTTCTGCAACTAGGACCTTTATCGGCTATCTGGTAGTCACAGCGATGAGTTCTCTCCCCTCGATCTTAATTTTGTGTTCTCAAAGTGTATATCGTTGATTGAATGGCCTAGTCGATTGCCGAAAGAGTTGCAACCCCCGTCAAAATGTCGCCTGAATATCAACATGTCTATAATCCCATCAACTGAAGAACGAGAAATGGTGCTGTCTGCCCCTTTGGAGTCTACGTGGTGCGATCGACTGAGAAATGTGGTCGGGGACGGCTTTGTTGACGACCTGTTGTTACATTGTACAGATCGAGGAAACAAATAATCATAATGAACTGAGTAATTTCAACTTGAAATGTTTTTCTGAGCTACAAAATGTGACCAGTCTGCGTTTTAATAACTATCACTCTTAAGCTTCGGAGCTGTCATTACCAGCTGTCTTCCGTCGCCTAGGAGTAGATCGTCGAGCACCCGCCTTTCGAGGACCAGTCTCAGAGACAGCTTCCTTCACAGGGCCATCAACAGCACCAGAAGATTCCAAAGTCGTCACTCGGACAGGAGCTGGCTTTACAGCTGTAGCTATAGCCTTTGACCGTGCCTAAGTAAGTGGTGTCAGAAGACAGGTTTGGTTTCGATTTCTGCATACTAGGCGGTCTTACCTTTCTTGCCAATCCTTTGTCTACTGCTTGAGCTGCGGCATCTGCGAGCCGATTCACCAAAACCTCTTCTCCTGGGAGTTGTTTCACACTGATTGAACCAAAACCATCAGTTGCATCTCCCGGTCCTCGTTTCGCCTCGATTCCATTGCTGCGAACCTCCAATATCATCCTACCAATGACCCGTGACTGAAAGTCCACAAGTTCCTGCCACACGATTTCTACCATCCCAGAATCTAGTCTTTTGGCATAGACAGGTCTTCCTCCAATCCTAATGGCCGCAATATCATACGTTCGTAGAACAGCAGGCGCCCATTTTGAAGCCAGCCAGTCAGCAAGTCGTTCGGTATCGTCAACGACCATTTCTTGTGAAAACAGACTCGATCCTTTTCCTGACATTGCTGATTCGTCCATTCGAGCGAATTCATCATTCCACTCCTCAGTAGATACTTTTTGGCTACCAGTTTGTGACGAAATGCAAGCGGCTACCTTTGGTAGAGCTATTGAACTAATTGCTAGCAATGCAGCTGCCTCTCCAATAGCATGGCGCGATGTTCTGATTGAAGAAGAAGCTTGAGAATTTGAGATAATAAATGGATCCACCCGGACACCACGCATCGTATATTCCTCTGTTATGATGGGTTCTCGTCTTAGTCCACCAACCAGCGGCGAAAAGTCTGGTGATGATTCGGGTTTCCCAAAAAGCTCGCCGTGACGCAAGGTGTACGGGCTGGAGGCCAACGATCGAGTCAGTGTTGGTGGGACCTTTGGTGAGTCGCGAAAGAAGGAACCAAGTGCTCCAGCGATACCGTCATTGTCAACATCTTCAACCAAATCATCCGCTGATGCCAGAACAGCAATCTGCACCCCACTTACTCCACGAGAAACACTTTGCACTGCAAGACGAATAGCGGCTTTGTGGTTGCCTGCGTCATCGCAACCATCATATGTACAAATTAGCCCGTCTGCCGCCCCGCACCATTTTGAAGCTGCAACCAACGCCTCGTCACCTTGGGTGAGATCTTCGACACTTGCGCCTGCGAGTTCGAGAGTTCCCGATGCAGCAGATATCTGATCAAGACACTGTGGTGATAGAGAAACTGAAGAGCTCGATTCATTAGATACCACAAACCATCTAACAAACGAACCTTGGCGTGCTGCTTCGACAGCCGCAACTTCACCAATTCCCCCAGGTGGTGAGAGAACAACAACTGATGCAGACTGTGCCATCTGAGCTGCTAGGATTCCATCTCTTCGGTTAGGTGCAACCTGCCGGTTCGAAACAAATCCAGCAACTGCTGAGACCAGCAAAAGGTGGATAATCATGATGTTCAAGCAACAACTTGATAGTAGTGTCGCGTTGCACTCCACCGATCCTTTTTTTATAGACTGCTGACGTACCAACGAGACGATTCGTTCGAACAAAAAAAGTAAGTACCTCTGGAACCAGCGCTACACTACTGACGTGGAGGGCGAAAGAAGTGTTTTGCTGTGATATGCAAAAAATACAGCATAGTAGAAATTGGCTTATGAAACATTGAGCTCTTTTGCGATGAGATCTAATTCTTCCTCCAACTGAATGTGTACCGCTTGTATATTGGATCGTTCACTACTCCATTTTTCCCGATCGCTATGGTGGGATGTTCGCTTTCTTTGGGCATCTGCCTTCAGCTTATGATACTTTTTAGCAATCTCAGATCCCTTGTCGAGGACTTTGGTGTTCTTGCGTCGCAGTTTTTCAATGCACTTGAACTGCTGGTCGTAACTCTTCTCCCATTCTTCGCATTTTTTTGTTAGCTTTTGAATGTATTCACGTAGTCGTTTGCATTTTGATTCCGATGCCATGATTTTCTCTTCTTGGGAGCTAATTATTGTGGCTTGTGATTGTTGGTAATCCATAATTTTTTCAAGCTCACTTTTTGTCGCAGACCTAGTAAAGAGACAGGACGAAGTTAGAAAACGATAAATCACACAACGGTCCACTGCATATTTAAGTCTCTTTCACAACTTACAATTCTGCAGTCGTCTCGACCAATTGTGATTCTTGCTCTTTCAATGTTTCCTCCAGCTCGATTTTCTCCTTTTGGATCTCTTTCCGTTCATTGGAAACCTCCTTCTGTAATGAGACCAATTGTTCTGAGCAGCTGGAGTATTCCTTCTCTCTCGTCCGGATTTTTTCGCTCAGTTTGGCTTCATTCTGTTGCAAATGCGAAAGCGCCGCGGACATCTCTTGGATTTGCAGCGCAGATCTTTCCATCTCAAACTCAGCTTGGCCAAGAAGGCTACACAATTTATCGTTTTGTTTCCTTTCTTGAGAAAGTGTCACCTTGCAGTCGTTTTCGGACTTCTTCAATACGGCCATTCTATTGGTAAGTGACTCAATCTTATCTACCGCTTCACTGTAATCTTTGTTTCTCTTTGGCAAAGCACGCAGCACACCCCCAACATGCTGCAAAATGTCCCTCCAAAACAATATTTCGTTTTCCAAGTGAATGGATTTGCAATCCTTGAATCCCTCGCTCTGGTCCGCTGCAACCTCGGTGGTAAAATTATCAAAAAGATCAATGGACATGATCAATCCCAAAAATTCTCGTCGCATGATATGCAAATTCTCGCAGTGAAACAGTACATCTGCTTTCTCGCTTTGAAGAGTTTGGACCAGCTTGAGTCGCTTATCAAGTTGGATCTGGCTAGTTTCTTTATACTTCGTGAACATCTCCCTCAGACCACTCAATTCTGCATCTCGTTTTGACAACTTGGACCGTAGCTCCGCCCTTTCTCGTCGAATTGTTTCCAGAGAACATTGAGATTCGAGAATACTGTCTTCTACATCGGAAGCTCTTTTCTTCTTCTCAGCTTGCAGCTCGTCAATTTGCTTCTTTTGGGATGTATTGAACTCGACAGCTTCAGAAAGATCGTCGATAGCTTCTTGGTTCTTGATCTTTAGATCTTCAATGTATTCATTTGCTTCTTTCAGAGAAACTTGAAGTTCTGATATTGCAGAATCCACGCTTTCACGAACTTCTTCGCGAGTCTTGCTTAATTCTATGGTCAGCTGGGCGTTTTTGGCTTTGTACGTGGATGACAGCTGTGTTGCCTCATCGAGCATTTTAGTTTTCTCTTCGAGGCATACTTCCAATTCAGATGTTCGCTTTTCCAAGATTTGCCTCTTGGTTTCTTCCATTGTACAATCGCTTTCTGAACGCTGGACAGATTTTTGCAGCAATGCAATATTAACATCTTTTTCTCGCAAAGACTTGAGGGAATTCTCGTTTTCATCATTGGCTTCACGGAATCTATCCTCGAGCTCTGCGATGACTTTTCTTGCTTCGAGAAGAGCCTGCTCTACCATTTCAATCTCCTCGCTTTTTCTCGAGCTCTGAAGCGACAACTTGCCATTCTCCCCTTCTAGCACCTCTATAGTTGATTTCTGTCGAACTATTTCGTCCCGTAACTCGGTAGATCGCTTCTTCACTCGATTGCATTCATGAAGAACAGCCTCGAGTTGCTCTTTCCACCGTGTGTGTCCCTCGTCTGTTGTTATAGACCTATTCTTTGTTACTGATCCCAGAGTATCGTCGTCAATAGCAAAATTTGAAATGTCTTCGAAACGAATCGAAGAATCGTCGTCGTGGAAGTCGATGTGCGAATCTCCCGGGATCCTAGCTTCCTCCATCAACTCAAGGACGTCTTCTTTGGTTGAGGGGGTTGAGAGGAAGCTCCCGCTTATTGTTGTTCTATGCTGCCTGTTTTTTATCATTATCGGTTGTGGCTCTGCTTCGAAATGAAGAGACGACTTCAACACTTCAACTTTCTTTGTCAAGTGTCCTAGTCTCGAGATATAGACGTCAAAAATTGGCAATACTCGGTCCTCGAGACCCGCATACCGCTGCTGCATTTCACTCAACGCACCGCTCACCAGTTGCATGGTTTCAAAATCACCCTGTCCGCCACAAAACTCTGGATTGTCTTGTTGCATCGTTCGTAGAGTAATGAGCTCTTTCTTGAGCGAAGCAACAACTGCTTTTTCACGCTTCAGTTCTTGCTCGAACGAAAGCAATTGAAGTTTTCTGGCGTCGTCACCCATACTACTTCCAAAACTTTCTGCAGATTTTACTCCTTCTGTCAATTGGTTTTTATGGAGCTGCGACTTTTTGCGCTCTTCTTCCAGTTCCTGTTTGTATGTGTCTAGCTGATTCTGCATACTCACCACCTGTTGTCTCCATGAGTTGTTCTCCTTACTGACTCTAGACATCTCTGCACACAGGTCATTGGAAGCAGAAATTAAAGATTCTGTATTTGCAACGGTGTTTGATGGCTTCTTTCCATTCAAACCACTGAATTCGACCTCTCTACTATCTTTCTTGTCATTTCCATAGCCTTCGGTATGTTGACGACCAACTTTCAGTTCCGCATTTTCCCGTTCCAACTGCTCCACACGCTCCAGTAGAGCCTTTTTCTCTTCTTCCAATGAAGTAACACGAGATGATAATTCAACACAAGTCTGGTCAGCAAATCTTACTTCCTTGACCAAAGTCTGATTCCTGTCCAAAAGTGTTTTTAGTGGATTTTCCTGGACAACAGTCCCCCTTGGTGTTGCAGCTGTAACCCTCAAAGCCTGCTCCAACTCTACCACTCTGTCCTTCAACTTGGATTGCACTGTAGCTGTGCTTTTTTTCTGGTTTCTCAAATCATTTTCAAGTTTTTCAATTTTGGACAAATAACAAGTTCGTTGGTTATCGACGTTGTCCTTGTTGTGTTGCTTACTAGCCACCTTGTTGGCTGGAAAAAGAGAGGATTGAATAGACAAGACCGAAACCTTGCCATCATTGTTTGATGTGATTGATTCATCAAAGTTACCAACGTCATCATTATGAAAATTCCCATGTGAACTGCCATCATCCTGTTCAAAAGACATTTGTACGGCCAAGGCAGAATGTCCAGGGTGGAAATCCCTTTTTTCTCGCACTCGTGTGGCTGTCGATTGAGAAATGTCAGTCTTGGAGTTGTATACACGAATTTCTTGTTTCGTATCGCTGACGCCCGTAACAATCCCTTCAATCAGACCGATTTGACCTGAAAACGACGCGCTCCCTGTTTGACTGATCGCAACGCTTTCATTCGACGATGAATCATCATGTATCGATGGCTCAATCAGCTCCCCATTATCATTTTCTTGCCATTCAATCATTGTGGTTGTCAAGAGGTGGTTCTCGGGAATGCCCACATCCAGTTCCCTTGCATCCTCTTCTGTTCCAGAGATTTGTGACGAATGTGTTTCTTCTTCTCGATTGGAGCTCACAGATCTCTTGGATGCGGCATCCCTGGACCAGTCATAGTGTTCCATCATGGCCCATGCAGAAACATTAGTTGTATCATTGTCTGAGGCACTTCTTCCGGGAATAGTTTGGTCCTCTTCGTCTTCACTCATGGTTACAGAAACAGCGATGGCAGGTCGAGTGATTGTTGGTTGGGAGTCGCTTTGCTGATGAAATACAGTATTCATGTTGTGATCGAGGTTTTCCTTGGAGTCCAGATCCCCACTCTCCGCTTTCAGCCGGCGAAGAACTCGTTGGGCATTGAACTTTTTGGCATCTGCCCAGTTCTGTGACAGTTTTGGCAACATTGCTTTGGAATCTGCCTACATTTCACGCGGGGAAGGATAAGTGACTGAGTGAACCGAAATGGAAGACAAATAAAACAGAAACTACTTTTCTTACCATGTATTTTACTTCGTTTCGATCTGAGCAACCTGCAGTAAGACGGAGTACAGTGTACAGTATTGATGTAACTTTGGTCTGGTTGTTTGCGTTATTATCTTACGACGGTTATTTTGTATTTGAAATTTGAATTTCACTAAACTTTGGTGTGCCGGCGTGTGTAATGGGGTCGTGTGAATCAATTTTTGAGGTCCGTCATGCATCGCATCAGTAAGGGCAAAATGTACAGGGTACCAGGTACTAGCTAGGGTGCGAAAACAGACATAACGTGCCGCCAATCAGTCGGCAAGACGTACGACGGAAGGCTCTTACAATATGCTG